ATTCCAGTAACAAAAAGGAAATAAAACAAAATCCACAGAATCTCACAGGTTGTAATGACAATTTGGCTTTCTTTTATAATAGGTTCGCCTCCAAAATGGCAAAAAGTGCATTTATTGTTTATCCATGTTTGCATTACTGGAGTTAAAGTCAGTGGTACACTTTGAAAATGTATATGTTTAAGACTATGAGTAAAGCAACAAAGGTACCAATCATTTGTGTTAACTGGAAAAGCCATTAAGTATGTTTGGTGAAAGTAAACAGGAGGTATTACATGGATACTTTCTACTGGGCTCTTAAACAAATAACATCAACCAAGTTTGCTCTTGACCGGATTTTACAAAGGCACGTAGTACCAGTCTTACAAAAACCCAAATGGTCAAGGTGCTCTCTAAAAGTCTTTGACATGGTAGTATATAAATATAAAACCTGCAGAAGATGCGAATAGCTATAGCACAGCCTACGAAATAACTATCTGGCCAAAAAATAAGGTAATTTAAAGGCAACCAAATAAATTCATGGGAGGGAAAATGAAGGTGTTGACACAGACTTTGGTTGAGAAGCTCCTGAGTCTCAGGTTGTCAGAACTTGGATGGCTGTAACACAGAACACACACACACTTGGTTGTCGTGGTTGTCTTCTTCCCATGCCGTCCCCCTCGCCGTCTTACCGGCACCCACTGGAAAGCCTCCAGGACCTCCTGGAGCCTTGCCCTGCTGCAGTATGGATATTCTTACATAACCTAAAGCAGCCTGACAGGGTAAATGCACTTGATAGAAATTTGTTCAGCATGGATGGCTTGAAGCCACAAGGTCGAGAATTTCAGGTAATTTACTGCCATTTGTCATGCTGAGGAAGTGAAGGAAAACAGACATTTCTATAGATAATACACTCTTAGTTGTGTTGCAGGCTGAACAGCAGCGGTTGCACTTTCTTGTGGAAGTACTGAAGTCTCCAGTTCTGATATTTTCTAAAATGAAGCATTTAGAGGGCTAGAAGCAATTAGGCTGTATACAAGAAATATTGGATATCACTGAAAGAAGAACCGTCAAGAATAGTCCATTCTGTAAGTTAAATGAATCCTAGGAGTGATATACTGTCCAAGTAGATGTGTCATTATCCCATAAGAAACATTATATCTTTTAAATTAATTGAAAAGTGAAGTCACCTGGCACTGAAGCAGAACATAATAGCAGTTATTTAACAGGTTGAAACAACTCCCATTGAATCACTAGTACTTATCTCCTTTGATGTAAGTAACCCAACCATTGTAAGAACAGATGTCAGTGACTGTGGATTAAGGGGACTACTACTGAAAGGGCATGATGGTCTCCTGAAGTCAGTTGCTTACTATTTAATGACGATGAATAATACTGAAAGTAGTTATTCTGAAATTGAATCTGTCTCTCCTTAGTAAAAAATACAGGTAAAATCCTGAAGGATGAGAGTCTCATGAACTTGTTCCTGACTACATGCTGCTCATGCCAGGATAAACAGCTATGCTCTGTATAATATGATAGCAAGCTTTCAAGCTTACTGACAGCGTAATGGATTTTTGATGGGGTGGCCATGGGATGAAAAAAAAGCAAAAAAAAAATTGAATTCAAGACTAATTGACACAACTTTTTCAGTAAAATTTGGAAAAAAATGTAAAAAGTTCATTTTGGATCAATTTAAAATAATGTATTAAAAAAATAGAATCTTTCTTACTTCCAGGATATTTGAAACATTTTTACTTGCAATGATTATGGTGAAATTTACCTGAGAAAAGGGGCCCCATATACTGCCTGCTACAAAATCTGCAAATTAACACTTGGGGCCACAAGTTCTGTAGCGGGAGCTGGTGTAGGGAGTGCAACAGGGCAAAGATTTCCTTTCCTCTGTTATCAGGATGCAAATCAGGAAGTAGGATTAGGACCCAGACCACATGGCAGCCCCCCTTGTAATCCTGATACTGTTTTATGGGGAAGGGGTGGTTCTGTCACCACCACCTTGCATGAGGGCATAGCAGCCACAGCATGGCGAGGAGGCCATCTGATGCTTCTTCCCTCCTGAACCGCGGGGAAAAGATATCGGACTCTCCACGAATGAAGCCAATCTGACAAGGCTCCTGAAAGCCAAGTCCTGCTTGACTAACATGATCTCCTTCTATGACAAGATGACCTGCTTAGGGGATGCAGGAAAGGCTGTGGATGTTGTTTACCTGGACTTTAATAAAGCCTTTGACACCATTTCCCGCAACATTCTCCTGGAGAAACTGGCTGGTCATGGCTTGGATGGATGCATTCTTCACTGGGTAAAAAACTGGCTGGATGGCCGGGCCCAGAGAGTTGTGGTGAATGGAGTTAAATCCAGTTGGTGGCCGGTCACAAGTGGTGTTCCCCAGGGCTCAGTTTTGGGGCCAGTTCTGTTTAACATCTTTATCAATGATCTGGACGAGGGGATCGAGTGCACCCTCAGTAAGTTTGCAGACGACACCAAGTTGGGCGGGAGTGTTGGTCTGCTGGAGGGTAGGAAGGCTCTGCAGAGGGACCTGGACAGGCTGGATCGATGGGCCGAGGCCAACTG